GTTCCTTCCCATTTCCTCCCTCTCTCGGGTGACTTTTCTCAAACTGCCACTTGCTTCTAACTGGTCCTCTAAAACTCAGATGACGGGACAAGTCCTACAGGGTACTGCCCACGTGTCTGTGACAAATTTGACTCTATTGTCCTTCTGCAAGAAGCGCAGTGTCTCCCCCACACATCCCTCACCTCTCTCGCCAGTTTTGCCCCATATGCACATTATTTACCTGTATGCACATGACAGATGATTTCACATGGCATTTTGAAAATCTATAATTAGCCAGCCTAGAAACAATGCAATAAACTGCCCAGCAGAGAGTGGCCTAGACTTTTTTTTTTTGCTTGACACATGGTTGCCAAATTTAGCTCTTTCTACATACCTTGACATTTAATACCCTTCCTATTAAACTCCCTGGAGAATTTCAGTCTTTTAGAATTAAGTACTGGAGGGAGAGTCAAGTCCAAACCCTTGCTTCAGTTGAATTTCACAACCTGAAAACACTTTACAAACTCTGCCCAACATATGACTGGGACACAAATGAGCATGAAGACCTGGCGTGAAGACCCCTGACTGTGCGCCCAGCTGCCTTTGCTCTTACCCGTGCCTCTGGGACAGTTAATGTGTTCCTGTGTTTCCCTGTCACATGGCTAGGTGGGGAGAGTTAGTGTAGATGTGTCCTGCATGGAAATAGTTAGAAACCCTTGTTATTTAGTCGAGCTTTATAGTTAAACTTCTACGTAGTGAAAAAGTACTCTCTAAACAAATTGTTCTACTAATTTATTTTCTACTATAGTTTTTAAATCTAGAGTCAGGTTTTCTGATGACTATACGCTCTCTGATTCTTGAACTTCTCTAATATAAAGTGGGTTCAACATCTTCGGCTTAGTCTATACCCTCAGCAAGGATGGGAAGATTAAGTAGGAAAATGTAAGTGAAAAAAGTTTGTAATAATGATTACAAAAGAATAGAGCTAGTGATTCTTTAGCATTTATTATGTTTCAGGCAGAGCTGTGCCTGAATTAACTCATTTAATTCTTATAACAATTCCAAAAATGCAGGTATTACTATACCAAATTTACAGGCAGAAAACCAAGGCACAGAAGCAAAACAACTTGCACAATTACCAAGATAGTGAGGAAGAAAGTTGGAATAAACTACCATGTGCTACCTATTCCCCAGGCAGAATAATAATGTAACATTTTGCTGACAGAAACTGTGAGAGATAACATAAGAGATATCACAGGGAAATAAGATAATCACTCTTACAGACGAGACAAGTAAGATCCAGTAAGATTTCATGGCGTGCCCAATGTCCAGGATTTATATTTTTATAATATGTATTATTTAGAGTATATTTAGACTACGTCTGGAGGGCCTTTTTTAAATTGAGGGAAACAGAACAAAGCAGTTAAAAACAGGAGTGATGTATTTCATGGGCAAATTTTAAATTCCAGCACTAACACCTAACCTGCTATTTCTTAGAAATTCAACATAAAATATACCTGGACAATTATAAGAATAAATGCTTAAGAAATGTTAGCTACTATTATAATCACTGTCCCAGTGCCTGCAACTAAGTTCCAAAGCACATCAGGAGTCCTAGAAAAAAACTGTACAGCTCTCCTTGAAAGTGTGAATGGAACATTTATAGTATCCAGATCTAGACAAGAGTAGGAAGAGAGGGGAGTCCCAAGTGTGAACATTTTTTGTTTTCTTTTTTCCTAATTAATCTATAAAAAGAAAGAAAGATTCTATAAATTCACATCATGCCCATGAATCAGAATGTCAGGAATAGATTTTTATTCATTTCCTTCCACTATATGCCCAGTGGTACTAATATCTAAGAAAAGTTAGAAACAGGAAGGAAAAGGTAAGAATATCCCCAACTTCTAATGAAACTGGGCCTTTAAAGGGAAAGAATGCATAATCCCTGTGGGCTTACTGTGTGCCAGGCACTCACCGGCCAGTGGGTACAAAGTGCTTGGCTGGACTCTGGGTTAGGCGGAACCAGGTCAAATCTGGCTCTTCAGCTATTAGCTGGGTGGCCCTGGGAAGTGTTACTTAATTTCACTGACTCTATGAAGAACTTTTGAAAACAGAGCTAATCCAGCTGCTCCTCTAGGGGGGAAATCCCTGGGATCCAGGGCAACTGTGTCCTCTGTGAGACATCACCTTGTTTCAAGGCCTGTTTTACAAGTCATTAAAGATATTTCTGGAGTCTTTCAGGATCATATTGACCAACTATTTGCCTCTGAAAGATACATGATGAGAATTTGCTGGACAAATAAGAGTCCTACTTGGCATTAAACTGAATGAATATCAAAAGTCCAGCTGAGCAGAGATTCCCTCCATAGCAGGTGTATCTCATATCCTACGAAGACAAGGCAAGTCCAGTCCTCTCTGTCTCATCTGTGCCCCCAACCCTCTCAAAGGTAGGCCCACAAACCTTCACTAGAGCTTTCCAGATGTACCCTGGAGTTGAGCAGAAGGCAAGAGAGGAGCCTTCTTATCTGTGGACAGACCGGCTGTGACTGGAAAGGACAATAACTTAGTTGACCTGAGTCTGGGTGGGCAGCTGAGGCTGGATTTCTTATCAACTCATAACCCATAGGGACCCCATTGCAGCCTAATCGTACATGCTCCGACTGTTCTTTCCCACATTGGCCCAGATTCTGCCCAATGTGCTGTGCGTGCTCTCCAACCCCTAACAGCTCATGGGGCCTTTAAGCTGGAGGCTGCTAAAGGCAGGTTTTCACTGAGCATTAAAGCTCTGGGAGAAAGAAGCTCCACCGCTGAGATGCTGAAGAACTCCACCACTGAATCGGCAGAAATGACTCTCCCATGACTCTTCAGATTTCTCATTTGCACAGACTTCTGTGACTACGGTCTCCACGGCAACCTCAGTCCAGAATCATGGCTCAGGAAGCATTTCCGAGACTGGGGGTTAAAATGTTGTAAAATAGTTGTAAAATGGGTAAAATGGGTAAAGCTGATAATGGTGGCAAGTATTTGGAGGAAAAATACACGAGTAATTAGAGGAATCACAATTTGTTAGGACTTATTCAGGATGTGTACATCACATCCTTCTCACCTAGCATTTCTACAGTCTCAAAAAAAACAGCAGCTAGTGTAATAATAATTCCTGCAGATCTCTTAGAATCTAGGGCCTAGATGGTAGTGCAATTGCCTTTAGCTAGCATTGTTTGTTTTCATCTCCCATGTATAGGAAGAAAGCACATTCTCTCTGTTTGTAGATAAGGAAACTAAAACAAGGGATAAGAGAATTTATCTGAGTGCCTACTACACTTGGAGTGAAACAGGAATTCAGACAGGGGCAATTCAACTCCAGAATTTGAGCTATTAATTATTATCCCCCTCCATCTCCCCTGTTGAAGGGAAGAAACAGAGGCCCACAGACATATAACATACCTGATGTCACACTGTTACTTAGATTGGACATAAAAGTCCCAATGACAGCTGTATCCCCTTTAAACAGTAAGCCGTTTCTAAATCTGAGTCCTAGAGACTTTTATGCAGCCACTAAAACATACCCCAACTAAGTACACAGACTCACAGAAAACTTTTTTAGATGAAAAGCCCAATCAAACGGTGGCTGATAAAATCTTCTGGTCTCAATAACCCCTGTGCTACTAGAGCTGCTAAAGATGATTCCAAATGCGTGGATCTTCCCACATGCCATAAGTATCAGCATAAGACCTGGCAGGGCATGATTGAAGAGGTGGTAGAGTCCTCAAGACCAGAAACGCCCTTTCAAAAATTTTCCACATTTATTCTGGCTTCAAGCCATGATAAAATGTTTCCAATCAAATGCACCAGCTTAAATGAACTCATTTTTCAAAAAAGAAGTGGCTAGTGTGGGTCGAGCACTTATAAGATAGGTTCTTGGTGCCACAGACCATAAAAGATGAAGTAAGACTGTTTAAAGTGGTCCATGGAGAATCCAGAGGACCTTAAAACTTCTGAGCAGGAAGGGTGCTGAGACTTCCTTGTCCAAGACTTTTTCACTTAACAGGGATACGGTTAGGCTGAAGAGACTTATCCAAAGCCACTGAATAGACTAGTTAGTGGCCCAGCCAAAATTTATAATGAGGGGTTGGACACACTCAGGCTGCAAACAGCCTCAGTCCAAGGATTCACTCTGGACTAGACACTTTGCACCCTCACTTTTGCCTGGACCTAACATCTGGCAAAAACTCTCAGAGTTAAATTCTGTTTGCAAACATTGTAAATAAACACTTCTCATTTTCCAGAGCTCTCAGTGACAACTTTAGGGCCAAATCAACAAATCTTATGGCTATCATGGGGTCTTACACAAAGTGGCTTTAAAACGTAGAAGCAACCCACACCCTCCTTTGGGTGGGAGAAGAGGGGGACAAAGAGAGAGGGGGGGAGGGAGAGGGAGAGGGAGAGAGATAGACTGACTTTGTCCCTGACAGACGTATGAATGAGAGAAAGAAAGAGAAGAGACAGATACGTTACCCCTGATATAGACACATAAAGAAAGATAGGCTGCCTCAAAGCAAAAATCCTCAAACCCTCAAACTCCCTGGACGGAAGGGCAGAAAGGAAGGTAGTGAAAACAGGAACGGTTTCTCTAGGTTAACCCGGCTAGGGGCTTCCCCTCGGTCAGCTCCAGCACTTAGGGTGTGCGTGACACTCTCGGCTGCGTCACTGGCAGGACTGCCGGCGCCCAGAAAACCGGTTGGAGTGGAGAACAGAATGCTTCCTCTGATTCCCGGGGGAGGCCTGGTTGAGGCAGAGAGATCTCAGGGGAAGGTACCAGAGCGAGCTAAAGCATCAGCCCCCAAACGCCAGGGAATGAACATGAAGTTTTCGCTAGAGTGTGAAACTTTTTTTTCTTTGAAACCAAGTTTGCAGCCCACCCGGAAAAGTCTCTTGCCTCGCAACCTAGTGATGTGGATCTCACGCGTGGCCGCAAGCCGCTGCCCTGGGACTGCCCTTGCTGCCCCCACCCGGGCGCTCACCTGCGATGTCCCAGAGCTGCAGACGCACTACCGTCTCCGGATCCCAGTGGAGCACCTTGAGTGCGAAGTCCACGCCGATGGTGGCCCGGTAGTGCGAGGAGAAGTTCTGGTGCACGTAGCGCTTGATGATGCTGGTTTTACCCACGCCCAGGTCGCCGATCACTAACAGCTTGTACAGATGCTCCCTGTGCGGGGCCTGCATCCTGGCTGCCGGCCGGCCGTGCGGTGCCCGACCTGGGAAGCGCAGTCTGGGCTGGGCGCAGGGAAGAGACCCGGGGCGCGCTGGCTAGGGCGCAGGGAGAGGCGGCGGCGGGGCGGGACAGGGGCCCAGGGCGGAACTCCTCCCCTGGGGGTTGACCCTCTTCCCTACTCCGCGGTCTCCGTGAGGGCGGAGACCTAGGGCTCCCGGGGCTGGAAGCTGAGGGGCTCCTGTGTTACTGCCTGTCGCAGCACTTACTTGTACAGAGCTTTAGAGTTTCCAAAGAGCTTTTTCCAGCCTGTGCTTCTGGCCACAAACGTATGAAGTGTGGATTACATTTTCCATGTTGTGTGTGCAAGAAAATTGCGTGTCAAAAATTTCTGTGTGGGAGGTGTCAGTGAAAGGTCAGCCCGAACGAATGTTAGAGGGTCCTTGCCACCACCCTACACTGTAGAGAGAGAATATGCGATCAGGAGGCGCTGCTTGGGTCCTGCTTGGCCAGGTCCTGAGTTGAGTAACCCCTGCAAATCATTAGAACACCCCCAACTTGTTAAAAGAAATGGTAACGCGGACCTCTCAGCAGCCTGCAGGTGTGAGAGGTGAGGGCTTTCACAGCCATTCAACTGGAATGGTCTAACAAAGAGGATGGCGGGGCTGAAAAAACTAAGGGCATTCAAGACCATGAGCCTTCTCTCTTATCCTCAAAGCTCTGAGCTGCTCTGAAAGACAGTTTAAGCAACTAGTCAGATGATTATAAGTAAGAATGATACCAAACATTTGCTGAACCCTTGCTATGTGCCAGAGTTTTTGTACATTGGTCATTTAATCATCCCAGCATTCTTAATAATACGTTCCATTATTCTTCCCATTTTACAAATGAGGAAGCCAAGGCCTAGATATTTTAAGCAAGATAGCCAGGCATATTTAAATAACATACCCAGCTAGTAAGAAAAAATGTCAAATATAAACCTAGGTCTTTTCAACTGTCAAAGATATTTTTTTCATTCACTCATTCATTTGGCTAATATATATGGTGAATGCCTGCCATGTACCAGGCACAGCTCTGTGTGCTTGAAATGTAATGCAGACAATTCCTGGCCTCAAAATATTTAGCTTCTTGTAGATGGAGGCAGACAAATAATTTGTAATGTATTAACTGATAAGAAATTAAGGTAGGAAAGGTGATATACACAGAGTTGGTATGGGGTTGGGTTTTAAGATAGGGTAGCCAGGGCAAGTCTCCCTGAGAAGGAGAAAATTCCTGAGAACAAAGTGAGACGATCGGCCTGCAGGTTTAGAGGACGAGCCTTGTACACCAAAATGAGCCATTTTGTACCGGGTTGTGCCGGGAATGAAGCTCGGTTCACATTTTATCATTTCATCTTCCAGTTGCTTTATACACTGGGATATTCTGTTCAATTTACACACGAGGAAACCAAGACTGAAAGCAGCTTTCCCCAGGCCTTACAGAACCAGTAAGCATTAGAACTGGGATTTAAACACAGGCCTGTTGAAATAACAAATGGAAGGTTAGACATGACATTGCCTTCCTGCCTTCCCTCTGACATCACACACCCTAATCTTCAGCCTCTGCAAGCACCAAACAGATGGATGTCCTAGATTTGTGACCTGGACAAACCACATACCCTCTCTCAACTTTAGTTTCCACACCAATGACATGAGGATGGTAATATCTAACTTACATAGTTATTGAGATGACCATGACCAGACATCTCTAGTCTAGAGGACTAGACATCTAGACTAGCTACAACATTTCATTTTAGCTGCTAATATGAAATGAGGGACAAGTTTTAAATAATGTCCCCAAGTCTACCTTGTTCAGCTTTCTCCCTCCTTAGAGGGTCACTCAGAAGCCTTGGCTTGTCGTGAGCACAAACTAAAGGTGTGCAGAGTTACACTGGTCTGTGTTTCAGTGACCTGGTTAGAGGGGTAGGCCTCACTCACTGGTTTCTACCCACATATCAGCACAATAGGCAGATCGCATCTAACAAGTGAGACAAATATTTTACCTGCTTAAAGAATTAGCCAACACTGTGGCTTTTCTTCCTAAAGAGGGGAATTTAGGAAACCAAGGTTATTAAGACATTCTTAACACCTGCAAAATTGGAGATGATGACAAAATCAGATCTTTGCTGGAAATAAAATCCTGAGAAACAAGTTTGGTCTGAACCAGAGTGGATAGGGTAGCAGTAAGAAGAGAGGTAGAAGTTTGAGACACAGTGTGGCCCAGCCCTCAATATTAACCTGACCCCACCTCTTCACAGGCCCCCAGTCTAGTTTGCCTTAGCCGAGGCCAGGCTGAGTCATCCTCACCCCATGTGATCTCCCCTTTATCTGGAGCATATTGGGGAGACATTTAGATTTATGATGTGGTGCAGGCAAGGCATGACTCATATGTTTCTGCAGCCTGGAGTTTATAAAACTATAGGGAGAGAACTCTTTAAGCAAAAGAATACAAAACTAAAAATACAAAATTAGGTCCAGTGCCTTGGATGAGGCCCTGAAGCTTCAGCTCTGTCACCTCTCTGGAGGCAGGAAATCCCTCTCTCAGAGACAGTGGCCAACCCTGGTGAGGAAGCTCCCTGGCTAGGCAGGAAGTCTGTGCAACTTGTTTCCAGCAGCATTCATTTAGGTCTCATGATAATTCTTCACAGTGGGAAGAAATTACTCTCAGTTTATATTTTTAAGGCTTTTAGACTAAAGTAGCTTGGTAAGCACCCCGGGCTAGCAGCCTAGTAAAATCTTTGTAAAACCCACTCTGGCTCTCTGAACCTGAACATCCCTGAGGGTAAAGTGAGAGGGTTGTGTTGCAAGATCTCTGGAGAGTCATTTCGATGGGAAAGTATCAGAGTTCTTGGTCTCCTGGACATCCTCTGGTTGGAGGGACAGCTCAGCCTTTTCCAGTTGCCCCATAGTGACACCACTACCTAAGAGGTTGGGTTTTCTGTTCTGCACTCCATGTAGACTCTGTCTAAAGGTTTGAGAAGAGGCTGTCCGAAGGGACATCTCAAAACAAACATGATGCCATTGTTCCCTTCTGGTTTCCTGGCTCTGTCCTTTCCTCTGCTGCTGCACATTTTCTCATAAGACAGATAACCCAGACACGTTTTTTGGAAGGCAAACCTTTTTGTGCTCCCCTGCCTTGCTTTGAACTTACTTTTTTTCTACTCTCTCAACAATAAGCTGCAGAGGGGAGCCCAGGACCTGGGGATAAGCTATAAATTACATCCGGACCAGAGAGCTAGGGGGTGGAAAGATAGCATCAAGCGGTAAATCTGCCTTGCCACCTCTTCCTTTTACCCTCCCCTCCTTAATCATGATGCTTCATCACAACCTATCTGCCCCACCCTAAGACTCCATGTTCCCCAGATGCTTGAGGACTACCAGAGCATGGCTGGCTTCTGCTTGGCAAGACTGCCACAGGAGCCTGTGCTCCCTCAGTCTGGAGGGAACAGCTGGGGCTGTGTCACGTGGTCCCTCCTCCCAGCTACCACACTGCACTCTGGAAACCTGTTCTCTAGACTTACTGTGGAAACCTGTTCTCCAGATTTACTGCCAAAGCATCTATGACAACATCTTGACAATCTTACTACCCTCAAATGGTTTAACCACAGCACATCCTCTCACAAGTCTGGAAGGCAGATGACTCAAGTTTGTGAAAGGTATATGAGGCCACGTAGTGTTCAGAATTCAAGCCTGGGATGATGCCCCGGAAGGCACAGCATCAGAGTTCTCTGTCTCCATTCCTTTTTTTGCCAGGCGATGTAGGTACATACTCTTCTGCTTATAAAATGAAAAAAAGCTAATGAAAATGACTAAAAATTCCTTTGCACATGTAAATTTGAAGAGACGAACCCTTATGTTTCCCTCCCGGGGCTGCTGTATTTGGTGAGCTCCTGTGAAGTTGCCTTATTTGCTTTGCCATTAAGAGAAACATAGGGAGTTAGGCTTATGGGAGCTCTTAATTGTTGCTCTGAAGAAATATTTAAATAATAGCAAGATGGGACCCCAAAGCCTCTGTTGTAGAAAAGGTAAACTAATTATTCCTAGATTAATACAATGAATATATCTTAAAAGAGATGAACTTTACCCTGCAAAAAGCCTGTAAGAAATGACCGTGTAATTTATCATCCAAACCAAAACTCCTAAGAGTGAAAGGGCACTGTTAAAAATTACACCAAGCAATATGAAGAGGCCAGGGCTGTCCTGAGAACATTCATTCCTGAGGCAGTGGATTGGAGTTCTCAAATGGGATCTACAACTGCCAATGGCACTGGAAAATTTCCTAAATCACTGCTTTAATGAATAGGTCTGCCAAGCTAAGGTTATAGCTCATTTCTCTGTTCTCAAAGAGTTCTCCTTTTATGCAGTAGGCTGATCTAAAACCTGTGCTAACTTGCAGTGGGAGTCATCCAGTATTGATTCAGGATTGCAACAGTTGTCTGCAGCTTTTAGATTATTTGCAGAGAAACCAAGCTGGATTCTGTAAGGGAAGTACTTAAAATGAATACATTTCAATCTATGAGAATTTTGATGTAGGATGTTCCCCCCAAAAGATTCTATATTAGAATATTTATAATCTGTTCTCAAATAGAATATTTATGTATTATCACTGAACACTGATGGTAGGTGAGTTTTTAAACCTACCATTAATATGATTCAGGAACAATTACCAACTGAAATTATGTGCCGTAGCTGTACATAAGAGACATGGCTCATTCTCCTCCCAACTTATCTGACCTGGAAGAGTAAAAATGAGCTATGGAATGGTTAAAAGGCAAGCAACTGAGAAGATCAGGGAGTAACATGATTCTCTATGTACTAGAATTTCAACTTCCTGGTATTAGGTTCATGCTACAAGCCAAACCCTTTGGCTTGGTAACTTTGTTTGATCCTCATAACCACCTTATAACAGGTACCCCCAATTTATAAAGAAGAAATATAGTCCAGATAATTTACATGATTTTCCTAAAGTCATAGATATGAAGGGACAAAGTGAGAATCATAACTTTTAATTCATAAAACCATGCTTATTCTATGATTCCATGCTTTGTTAG